GTCTTGTTTTGCATGTATAAAGTCACGAGAGAACAGTAATTGAATCTCAGAAGTACATTCATTTGTAGAATAAGTAACAGAGAACACAACTTACAATAAATAAAATGTACAATGCTTAGTTTAGTTTAATGGTACAACACTAGCAGACTCTGATGTAATTCCTCTGTTAACTCTGTGTATACCTATGCCAAGCATTGAAAAACAGACCTGCAATAACGCAAACAGATAACCTGTTTTTGTTCAGCTATTCTCGATGAGAACGAGAATAGAGTGTGGGTCCACAGATAATTGTAAAATACTTGAAAAGTAAAATTTAGAATTTTGTAGCAATACTGTTGGTTTATGTGACGCAGAATTATCTTATTGTCTATAAATTCCATATTATAATGTAATTTAAAAAAAAAAGGAATGATATATATGTTGAAATGAAATTCTGAACAAATGTACGGCATTTTGAATTCTGCTTGGAAAGTATTTTGCGTCCTTCTAGTAGAGGATATCATGAAACTTTATTAAAGGGAGCGTAAGTTTCAAGTAGAGTTAGATGAGTTCATGAATTTCTCAAATTTACAAGACGATTTCACGTAGGGATGGACAGAATCGCCAAAAATTGACTTTAGTTGTGCTCTAGAATATAAGAAATTGCCCAAAATCCAGTCACATGATCTTTTCGAATAAGTTATGTTCACTTAAGTTAAACTCTCAAAGATTGAACAAAATACGACGATTGAATACTGTCTACATGGCAGTACAGATGTAAGAACAAGTTTTTTGTATTTAATAGGCTGCAGTACGTTTCTTAATCAAACTACTTACTCAGTTGGTGGTGGTCTATATTCAGTAGCAGTCGTCGATGTGAATAGCGATAATAAACCTGATATTATTGTTGCAAACAGTGGTTCGGACACCGTTGGCGTTCTTCTCAACACAGGCAGCGGCACCTTTTATAATCAAACTACTTACGCAGTTGGTAGTCAACCACATTCAGTAGCAGTCGTCGATGTGAATAGCGACAATAAACCCGATATTGTTGTTGAAAACTGGGGTTCGAACACCGTCGGCGTTCTTCTCAACACAGGCAGCGGCACCTTTAATCCTCAAACTGATTACACAGTTGGTAGTCACCCATATTCAGTAGCAGTCGTCGATGTGAATAGCGACAATAAATCCGATATTGTTGTTGCAAACCAGGC